TCAAATTGACGGGAAAAGAGGTCGAATCTCTCGTCCGATCGGTATTTGACAAGCCGACATCGTTTATCTAGTTATCCCTTTGATGTGTAAAACCCTAAGACTATAGTAGTTTCGCATATAGTTTAATCTGTGTGGAGAATGCAACTTTGACCAGCAGTGTTTTTCTGTTCAAATAATTTAGAAATGGTCAATCTCGATTTTCAACTCCAGGAAGAAATGGTTTTTGATGTAACAAGTACCGTTTCACAAGTGTTTTGGTTATATCATTTGGCAATGATTGAATTCAGTTGTTTTTCGGATACATCTGAAAATGAGCAACGGTATGCAGGATTCATTTAATAATTCTTGTTCACGCATCCACCCCTACATTCTATCCACATTAATGTGTAATAATTAGGCGGACACCGAAAGGGATTATAGAGCCCGTGTTATGCTCAAAGATAGACCGTTTTATGTGGATTTGGCGGTTATCATATTGGACGAGATCAAATTGAAATGGATGAAGTATACAGATAATTTAGACTACATGATCGATGTGCACACGTCCCAACTCCAGTCGGATGTATTTTTCTGTACCATTCTTAGTGGTACCTGTATTAAAAAATTAAATGGCGCTCTCACTGCCGAACGCGTTGTCGAAATATTCCATCGTCGTTATCAATCATATTTTGTTGGCGCAATTGGTGTGGTGATGGATGTTAATTATTCACGTGGAATGATCATCACAGTCCAGAGAAACTGTTCAACCGGTTCAAGCGAAAACAATTATGTCGAAGTTGATTCCTACGAGATTTTCGATCGAACCTTGTCGAATAAAAGTTCCCAAAGGTTTGAAGTGCATAAAATGCTCACCGATTGCCCCAGCGAGAAGATCTGGTTAGAAATACCCAAATCATCTTTTCCAGTTCCAGGATTGTATTATATTCAGATTGTTTTAATTCGGCAACAACGACGCGGTAAGCGGATACGCGAGCAACATTCGATTACGGCTTGTGTGACAAGTCAATCATCCATTGAGANTTCGTCATAACGTTCTCTTGCCGAATGACTATTTGTTGCTAACCAGTTTCCCCGGCATAGGACTCATGAATCCCGATCTAACACAATCTGGGCTGTGGAAATTGGCAAGCAATATATCTTGGGTGTATCAACAAGATGCGTATTGGAACAAAATTATTACCTATCATTTTCGAACAAGAGTCACTACTTATGGTCCGGGATTCTCACCTGCAAATGTACATTTGGTCACTCCCATTGACCTAACTGTCGGATTTCAACTTCGTGCTACTGCTTGGAGTCAGAGTTTCTCATTTCAGATAGGCTGTTTCATTGTATTCGATTTTCTGCCAAATCAGTACAAAGATAGTGGACAGTATCCGAACTATTTGTATATGTCTATGAGTGAACAGGTCTGCTTAATCAATCAACTCACACCCCCTTATATTGGATTCAATCAAACGGAATATGCACGGCGCACACTAGCCAATCTATACGTTGAACGTGCAATTCGTGCCAGATACGGACGGTCGGTGGTGAAAATTAGCTGTCGACAACCGACTACCTACACCCGATGCTCTCGGCCGCTGCAGTTAACGGAATATTTTCAGTTTCAGTTATATTATCACGTCTACATAAGAGGGGTGGGAATCCAAACTCGTTCCCTGGTTCATCGGATCATAGAGAAGGATCAAAAGATATATCTTTACGGAGATGATCAGATTCAAATTAGTGACAAGAAATTTCATGGTGCACGTCTGAGCTGTGTCACGATTGTCAGTGCCGTTCGGGACGGAAATCGTAAAGTATCAATGCGATTAC